ACCGAGATATATTCTATTGAGATGCATCTTAATACTTGTGGTATAAAACCGGTGAGACAAATAATAAACTAAAATTCTACCAGAACAATTGGGTTGGTGATTTGTGATTTGTCCTGTTAATCATGTAAACCCGGTAGATATCAAATCCAATGAAACCTTATATTACATAGATGGACATAACTGTAATAAAAGTCCTAAACCAAAAGCATAGGCCGAACCCTACCATAGATTTAGAATTAAGAAATGTGGTTTGGTTGCTGTCTAATAGATACAAGGTCATTTTAAGGGTCCTTAAACAATACTACTAGCTTTGGGTAAATATTTGTGTGTCCAGTTGATGAATGATAGAAAAGAAGTTGTACATACAAGGTGTGTTTTCACAGTTATCAACCTTGTGGCTTTATATATTTATGATGATTTTTCTAAATTCAATTATGCTCTGCTTGATAATCATATTAATAATACCAGAAGTCCATTCTTGATAGCACTTGACTTTTGAGATTGCCAACAAAAATGATGAAATTATGTTGTTTCAATCTAAAAATATTATACACGTACAGAAATAAATAATTCAATCGAATGGCTGAAGCAAATTTATCATACTGAAGGACACTTTATTGTATTGACTCAATATTAGCGAAATTAGTACAACATTTATGAGCAATAATGATAAACCAATCTAAAATTTGTTGCTTGGATTATTCATGGTTAACTAGTTGTTTAATTTGTGGAACGTGTTATGATTTTTAAGAACAGTATTTACCAGAAATTATCGGGTTGTCAAAACCACATTTTCGAAAATCACTATTGTTAACAGCTTATAATTTCGATTAATTAAATTAAATTAAATTTCCAATTTATTACTTCAAGCTAATCAATTTGTATTTAGTGTGTGTCTTACTATATGGAATTTTGATTACGGAATGTAAGTATGTCGCTGTTTTCTCTAAAGGACAATAAAGACAACTGGATAATTACGAACTAATGTATAATGTACACCACAAGGCGTTGTCAAATAACATTGTAAAGAAAAGATAAAAACAAATTAGTCAATTGTTTGTCCAGTGGTTGTGTTCACAGAGAAATAGGTAGTCTCGTAGTAAGTCTTGTCACACCAACTCTAAGACGACTGTAAACTGTTTCATTTATTTTATATGTCTTCATATACAATGATCATAAAGTGTCATGAGGGTTTTTTCCCCAAAAAATATTTTGCTACAAAAATTGTAATAGTATAATGTTCAAACTTTAGAGTATTTTCGTTAATTTCTTGTGAAATGAAAATAAATTTTAATAAAAAAATACAATAAAGGAAAGATGACATAAAGAAATAATAATAGTTTACAAATACGTATTTAGATGCATTTAAGGTGGCTCGGGTGTCTTCCTCCATCTTGGATTTCGAAGAAGCAGGTAACGTTGGTCTAGATATTTCATGAAATGTGCAAATTTTGAGAGTAGTATGTAATTTATGTAAAAGACTTTTGATGTAAATATAGAAAATTGTGTGTTTTATCATAATTACGGCTGTAATTTCTCAAAAACACCTTTTCTGTGTTTGATTAGATTTTTTTCAACTTTGCCAAATAAGGGGTGATAACTCAGATAAAGTAATTTTTATACTAGAAAGTGTTGTGAATTTACCTATTTTGATATGTAGCAAGAAAACAAGTTTGGTGACCCCATTTTTTTTTTTCTTATTCTTATCTGAAAGCATTTTATAAGAGCAATCATTTCACATCTTATCTTAAAGTTCTATCTAGTAGTTTTCTTTTTATCACACAAAATTTGATTTTCCATGCATAATCTATACAAAATCTGACAATTTTGCACAACCTCTAGCGTGAAAAAAAGTTCGGTGACCCATACTTTTTATTATATTTTTGAAAAAAGCATGATAAAAACTTCATTTTGACAAATTATTAAAAAATTCTATTAATTTTAATTAAGACGCCCCAGCCACCTTAAGGTGGTACCAAACAACTTAACTAAGATTAATGTTGGCTCGTTTAATTTTTATAAAATTTTGACAAAATAATAACTTCGACCTTTTGACAAAAATATTAAAATTTCAAAAATTGAACCGCACACTTTATCGGAAAATCTTCATTGGATATATAGCAGTTTGACAAACAATAATGTTGATCATCGTGAAGCTTAATATTTCTTAAACAATATAACGTGTTTAAAACTTTTAGCTGATTTTACAGAGTAATCTTCCTGTAGTGTTACGTACAACTTTAATAAAGCAACCCTTATGTTTATTATTATATTTTTTTATTTACTCAAAAGATTATTCATATAATAATTGAAATAACTTTCTGAAATAATAATCCTAGGCAAAGGCTTATCAATGCGCTATACCATACGATAGACAAACGCTTAACAATACCAATTACCATACGACATATAAACCGCTGAACGATATCATGTACAATAAAAAGCAAAATCACACAAAAAAAGAACTCCGAGAAAATTCAAAACGGAAAGTTCTTAATCAAATGCCAAAATCTAAAGCTTAAACACATCAAACAACAGCTGTCATATTCCTGACTTGGTATAGGCATTTTCTTAAGTAGAAATTGGTGGATTAAATCTAGTTTAATAGCTAGCTAAAACACTCACTTGTATGACAGTTGCATACAATTCTATATAAAACGAATGATGTACAAATGCTGACCAGACGTTGTACAAACGCTTTACGAATGATGTACTCTACACGGTCGATCCCCGAACGATATACGTACAATTCACGAATGAACATTGTGGTTGCTTTTACGTTACAAGGAAATAACATTTTCGATATCAGTCAAATCATTATAAATATATATTTTTGTATATCTTCCCTCAAAATACATTCTCTATAATTTTTATATAAATGGCTTTTTGATATTAAATATATTAAGATCTTTTTTAAATTGACATATTTTGGTTTTATTTTTGAATACACGAAAATGCGTTTCTTTTAATGACAATATGCATTCAGGTTAGAGGAGAGTTCACGCCTTCAAAAGAGTTTGAAGACGAAATTATAGACAATAATACAAAAAATTACCAGAGCACAACAACACAGTATCAGGATATATAAATACTGAGCCAAGCCAAACGGATACTACCAAATATGAACTAAACAGTAAAGGTTGAAAATATATACGAAGAGAAATAAAAGGAACACAACCACTACATTCTGTATGTATGTGCCTGTCCCAAGTCAGGAGCCTGTTATTCAGTGGATGACGTTTGTTGCCGTTTAACATATTTTTTTTCGTTCATTATCTAACATAAATTAGACCGTTAGTTTTCTCGATTGAATTGTTTCACATCTTTTATTTTGGGGCCTTTTATGCCGTATAGGCTTTGTCAGTTGTTGAAGCTGTATGATGACCTAAAGTTCTGTGACATTTGGTCTCTAGTGGAAGGTAACTTTGGCAATCATACATCGACTTCTTCTCATATATTTAAAGAATGTCTTTTATACGTTTCACAAAACCCTCTCTGAGTCTTTTAAGTTTTGTATCAGTTCATCAAATACTTTGTGTAATTAATTCACGGGTAAATCGATTTCAGCTTGGAATGACCATTTTAATCTGAATAGTTACTTTAAAGAACAAACAATGAGGTCGACATTTTTTAGAGTTTTAATCTGTTGTTGGACGTTTACATCTGGTGAGTTCGGTTTTCAGACCATTCCCTGGTAGGCAATTAAGACCAGTTAAGCGTATGTTTATACTATTCAGTAAATGATATTATTATTTATTAGAACACAACAATTATTTTTTTAGAGCCTTTGAATACTACTGGATGCCCCAAATTATAAGAACAAACGGAAAATGCGGTTTTATTGCCAATGAGAAAACCCTTCACTAGAGACAAAATGACATATAATTTAACGTATAGAGATCACCGTATGGTCTTGAACAATAACAAAATAGTTGAAAAGTAAAAACAACTCTGATCCAGACTGTCTATTTTAAGATTCAGACGGTTAATTCGTTATATAGCAAACGCATAAGAACATGACCTTTGACGCTGATTGCGAATGAGAGCAAGAATCTACACAAAATATTTTACCCGACACAATCTGTTGTATTATAGATTGATGCAAAAACAAAGAATACATTGAAAACACACAATACACAGTATTGCAGGCATAGCACATAAGGATGTTCGCTACTCTCGTTTCTGATTTCTTTTGTCAGATATTCGGAATCCTCTTGTTTTATTCATGTTGTGCAAATAAACATTTTGCCCGCTAACACCGTCTGTTCTTCGCATACATTTATTACAGTTGGTTGAATAAGCAATGTTTGAAATTCTTGTTATTTTTTTTTTATAGTTGTTCAAAGGAAAAAAGAGTGTCAATATTAAAAGTAAGACAAATCTTTAGAAAATCATTACCACCAAACTATTAACTAATGATATAAAATTGAAAATGGAAATGGGGAATATGTCAAAGAGACAACAACCCGACCAAAGAGCATACAACAGCCGAAGGCCACCAATGGGTCTTCAATATACCAAGACCAAGTACACGCACCTGTTATTTTTTTCTACTTTTCAAGTTCCGTTATCTTTATACTATAAATTGATTGCATTCTTTTAAAATGCTTGTAATTTTCAATCAGAGGAGCTAACATCCAATAGGTGACCAGTGTTAAATATCAGAAATCAGTATAATGACTGTATTTTTGAGTCTTTTCAGCAAAAAAAAAAGAACGATTTGAAAGACTTTGTACTTTGATATGAAGTAAAAACTAGAAAAAAAAATGCATTGATTTTCTAGTTTTTCGAAACGTCTTGATTATGGTATGAAGTCTACTGAATATAATAATATATTTATTGTTTCGTATTGAAATAAAATGTATTATTATATTCAGTAGACTTCAGGTCATAATAAAGACGTTTCAAAATTTTTGAAAATCAATGCAGTTTTTTTTTCAAATGTGAAAACTGTTATCTAAGTATACATATTAAATAGATAAAAGAAAATGATTATTACGTTATGATTATGCGAGTTTTAAATAAAAAAAACATATCATTTGAATCAAATTTCCGTTTTAAAGGTGTCCATCATGACAAAAACGTTGAAGATGTCATGATCACATGATTAAAGTATGTCTATGAGCTGATAGTAAAAAAATGTTCAGCTAATCAGAAGATGTGTCACATCCACAAACAATTATTCTATAATGAATTCCGTCTATTCTTCAACATTTGGAGCGGGACCCCTTCTCCATTCGTGGTATCAGTGCAGGTCTTGATTCTGTCACCTGCAGGTATAAAACATGAAAAAAGAAACGAGTCTTATCAGCTTATTATTATTATAAATTTACAAGGGAGGACAACTTTAATGCAACATATATTGTATATCTTGTTTTAACACAATATAATCATACATATTTCTGCAATACACATATTATCACTTCTATCCAAGCATGACTCACCTTTTGTTAATATTGTTGTAGAAACGCTTGTTCGAAAAGACTTAATATTAACCAAAAGATTTAGATTATTAGACATTCTTATTTTGAATGTTTGCAATTCAACCGGAGAAAAAATTCAACTAAATGCAAACAACTTATAAAGCATGATTTATGGTTGACGGTTGTTAAACGCAAAAGAGGACAACTAACGTAACTGCCTTAAACTTTATGATCTGAAAGTTTCTATAAGTGTTACCATTATAGAAATAAATATAACATGACTGATATTTTGTCAAGTCTGTTTGCTTTTGTTTTATATCATTTATGAAGATGGAAGAGGAGCTCTTTATTTCAAATGATATCCAAAACACCTTGTTTTCAAGTTTTTGATGTTAGTAGGACTGACTTTTTCAAATCATATATAAGAAATGATTGTGCCAAAATAAATATCTATTTCAATACAGACTAGGGCTTATGTTAAATAAACACATACCTTTACGCATAGTCATACAAATGACACAAATTGTAAAACCAACAACCAATCCACTTCCAATACACACACTACGTTTTATGCTCAAGTTTTCTAAATAAAGTTAAAGTGTTTGAATATATATTCTTATTATAAAATTTTTTTTTTTTAAATGTATATACTGTGGATTCATTACTATTCGTTGGATACCAATTTTTCGTAGATTTCGTGGTTAAAGGTGAACCACGAATTTAAATGTTAAACTAAGTACCAATTTTCTATAGGCTTGTATGAAGACTATAGTAAAACCACGAAATCAAATATCGACGAAAACACATTATTTCCTCAATTCACGAACATTAGTACCCACAAAAACAAAATGAATACACAGTATACTATATTATTACATCGCCGCATAATCGAATGGATATCAGATTATCGTAGTAAAATATCGGATGCCGTTCTTGAGATTTAGGTGATATGTTAGTTAAGCTTTTGTCATCTGCACTTTTATATTCCATGAAGTGTGCTGATCTGTATTTTTTGTATTTGTTCTGTTGTGTCTCTTTCTTTTCGTGTCTCTTTACGTAAAGTTTTAAAAACAAAAACAAAAAATATTTTTCAAGTAGATACTATATACTGACATTGTCGAACAGCCAAAATACGTGTTGAATTGTTCTTTTATTTTTCTTTGTGTTAGTGATTAGCTTTATTTGTTTATATTATTTTTTTAAAATATCCTTTTGACATGGCTTGGTACTTATGCAACAATGTTTTGTAATGCTCTGGTCATTTGTTGTATTCTTGTCTTTCATTTTTGCTTTTGTGTTTTGTTTATCATGTTTATAAGCCATTTTATTTTTCTTTGTTGATATATTTATTTGTTTTTAAAGTGATGAAGAATATAATTCAATGTTGACTGCTGTACTGATATTTATGTCTGTTTGTTCACAAATTGTTGTCAATATAATGAAATTTTATACGACTGTCATACAAGTGAGAGGTTTGGCTAGCTATAAAACAAGAGCCTTCGACCATTTTCTTTATAAGGAAATGCATGTACTAAGTCGGAAATATGACAGTTGTTTTTCGATCGTCTAATGTGTTTGACGTGGTAATTTAAATACAGACACTAATAAGAAATAAAGAAATATTCTCGGAAGATCTCTGAGGTTGTTGGATTTATTTACATTAACAGCATTGTACTAGTTTGTGAACTTATTGGACATATTCATGTTTCGTTTTGATTCCGTAACAGTTAAGAGAATAATTTCGGATTCAGAAAAGACTTTAATCAGACATTCAGATATTTTTACAGTTAGGTGGACATTTCTATTGTCATTTGGTATTGCTATTGTCATTTGATATTTCTATTTGTGTAGTATTTCTTGTAAAATAAAATAATACTTAATTATTACATCTATCAATGTGTGTTGTCTTTAGTTGGATAAAAAATGTGATTGCTGGTCGTAACAGAGTAAAATGGCGGAGTCAAATATGTGTATACGCAAACATAACCTACTAGAACAAAACATTGGTTCGAAAGAAACCCATTGGAACAAAATGATATAATAAGTTAGAAAATACTAGAACAATCAGGTCGAGTCGACGATAAAGAAAACTCATAAACAGATGAAAGGCACAAAAGCACTTATGTGAGGACACGTGTAATAAAAGAATGCTTGTTCAAAGCTAGTTATCCTGAAACATGAATAATATTTTTCAGAACAAATTAGCAATCAGTACACATCCAACTGATTCAAGTGTAAAAGCGTCATCAAGGGTCTGAAAAAACATGACTGTTAGCAACGCCAAAATAATTAATTATTAATGATATATCATTGCGATCTATTCTTCTTTTATCTGTTTTGTTTTGTAACACATACCTATAAAACACTGTTGTTCAGCAAAAAATATAACCATTGCAAATAACCCCATTAGCAGCAGTCCACATATTGTAACCTTGATACCTGAAACAAATAATGAAATACTTGTGATTTAGTTCGCTACATTCGATTAAAATGTTCAATCTTCCGTTGTATGTATGTAACATTGATACGATAAATGATTTTGAAAAATCATAAACAAAGTTGTATTTCAGATAGTAAGGGTAGTATTAGATAGATCTACAGAAAAAAAGTGTATAAAGTTATGACTGGTTTGAAAATTTGTATATGCTACTTTAAATTCATTTCCAAATTTTGGATTAGAATTATTGTATGCGGAATATGGTATATTTATAACAAGTAAGGTTGTTATGGGATAGTTGGTTGATGGTTCAACAAATATGTGATTGGTTCAGCTGAATTTGTTTATAATTGTTATAGATGACATGATAACTAAGGACTTGACATATTGTATATATACCTCTGTGTTTAGTTGAATGTTGACCTCTAAATGTCGGTTGAGTTATTTCAGCTGTCTCATATACCTCGTTTCTAATTTTTACGTGTCAATTCGGAGAATTCGGAAAGACAAGACACATGTTAGCCTTCTTTTTAATGTATAACGAAAAATTAAGCTTTCTAGGAGAATCAACAACGGTCTTGCAGAATTATCAATTGGTTAATCACATTGCATTAAATTCATCGTGTTGTAACCAGCAACATGGAATAAATAATCATTGAAAAAAACAAATACATTCGTAGTAATCAATGGCTACAGCTACGTTTTTGTAAATGTTTGTTAAGGAGAAGCTGTTTCTTATTAACTCAAAATTCATCAAGACGAATGTAATTGCTTTTTATAAACAAAACATATGTCCAGCAAAGTGTTAGTGAATGAAAATCAAATACATATGATGCATGTTCTTTTCAGTGATATAACATCCATACACGTTCAGAAATTAAATCTTATCATTTCTTGATCATAGGTCCCAAAGTGATTTTAACGTAACTGTAAAAGTAAACCAAAATCTTACATATTACAATCAATCAAATGCATACAAAATACAAAAGAGTGCCATCAAATATTTAAGATACCTACATGACAGACTCCATAATGATGTGCGTTCGAAAAATATTTTTTTATTCTTTTTATTTATTTCTATATTGTTAATTTGATTGTAAAGATAAATAAATTTCATGCTAATGCTAAAATTGTTTTAGGAAACTTTTCAATTTGGTGTCTCATATATATTATCTCTGAAATGTTTAATAGTGAAACTCAACATTTAATCTAAAGAAATCTTTACATGTCACATATGAAATCTAATTTAAATTTTACAACATACGGCTTCAATAGAGAAATATGGTAACAGATTCGGTAGATAGAATGGACATTTAAACAATTTCATCCTTTTAAGAAACACACTGTCAGAAATTGAAAACACGACGAAAAGTAAACAATATTCTACGATGCAATCTACAGGAACCTAAAGACTTAGCAACAAATATCCAACGATAACCTATTATCTAGGATGCTCATAAAGTAGCTTACTTATTGCTCCACTTAGGACAACTGTTATATTCCGCCGTTGTACCGGCGATAAGTGTCCAATAAGTCAAAATTAAAAAAACGAGGATGTGTTTTACACATAAAGTATTCATATACTCGTGTAGAATGATTAATCAACCGAAACCGATTGTCGGTAATTATATTATATATATTATGCCTGAAATATCATAATCAATAGAAAGGAAATGATTTACTTTGAATCGTTTGACAAAGTAAGAGTTGATAACTATTTATACCACTCGGTCGATGCCACTGCTGGTGGACGTTTCGTCCCCGAGGGTATCACCAGCCCAGTAATCAGCACTTCGGTGTTGACATGAATATCAATTATATAGATATAGGAAGATGTGGTATGAGTGCCAATGAGACAACTCTCCATCCAAGTAACAATTTATAAAAGTAAACCATTATAGGTCAAGGTACGGCCTTCAACACGGAGCATTGGCTCACACCGAACAGCAAGCTATAAAGGGACCCAAAAATTAATTAGTAGTGTAAAACCATTCAAACGGGAAACCCAACGGTCTAATCTATATAAAAACGAGAAACACGTATGAACTACATAAACAGACGACAACTACTGTACATCAGATTCCTGACTTAGGACAGGTGCAAACATTTGCAGCGGGATTAAACGTTTTAATGGTACCAAACCTTCTCCCTGTTCTGAAACAATAGTATAACATCACAACATATGGTCATTTTAGTAAATTTCCTGTTGACAAAACTTTAAATTTTTCGTAAATCTAAGGATTTTTTTATCCCAGTAATAGATTACCTTAGCCGTATTTGGCACAACTTTTTGGAATTTGGGGTCCTCAATGCTCTTCAACTTTGTACTGGTTTGGCTTTATAACTATTTAGATCTGAGCGTCACTGATGAGTCTTAGGAAGACGAAACGCGCGTCTGGTGTATTAAATTATAATCCTGGTACCTTTGATAACTATTGATAACGTTTGAATATTTTCATTTGTGTAGAATCAAGATTTCTAATCACATAATATACATGTAAAAGATGAGGACAGATATTTTAAACATATCGCACTGCATCATTTTCTGAAAAAGAAAACAACAGATGTGATTATCACTTTTTCAAATCAGCCTTATCGTCGAATATGTATTTGCAATGATCAACATTTCGGGTGCCCCTTGTGGAGCAATTTCAGTTTCTGTCGTGTGCCATGACTTGCAAAACTTTTTTTCATTAAAATATTGACTATCCCTTAGGTACCTTCTGTCTCATTTTTTAAAGATTTTCCTTATATTAAATGTTAGGAGCCCAATAATCCGAGAGAGATATTTAATTTGATAACAAATTTAATGCCTGGTTAAAACGTTAAAGTATACTAGTCTACAAAACTTAACTATAAATCACAAAATTTCCAGTTCGATTCCTGATTCAAAAAAAAGTAGTCTTGTTTTTAACAATTTAAAATGGTCCAAGGACACAGTTATCGTCCTTTGGTTTTCGTTGTCTTCGAATATAGTCCCTAGTGTAAACAGTGTATAACTTGCATTTTTTTATACACTTTCCCAATTTATTTCTTGATATTTAATGCATGACATATTGAGTAAGGGGATGACATTACATGTTGAAAAAATTTGGGTGCTGAATCTTTGTTAAGTAGTGATTTGGTCCAGTTAAAAAAGGTCCGAAATTAGTACGTCTGAAGCTGTCAAACTGAATTTTAGACCCCCTTAACACAGAATTGTCAATATTTTGAGTTAGAGCTGGTATAAGTTTCTATAATTTTTATATTATTTGTCCCAATAGTAGTACACTACACTGTAAAAATCTTTTTGAGATAAAGCAGGTGCGATTTTTTTAATTTGAATTGATTGTCTAAAAGAAATGCGCTATGAAATAACTGTGTTCTCGGTCCAAATGCAAACATTACGAATTTGAAGGTTTCGAAGAGTATTGAGGTCACCAAATAAGATAAAATGCACTTGAGCTTAAAACAAAATCATGAATTATTTATCAATGATTATTAATTCACATTACCTAGTATCTGTTTAGCACTGTATTCAGTTTTACAAATTGTTGCACAAAACCGAATTCCTTCTTCGTCTTCGTCACGGCGCATAGTTGTCCCTTCATTAACTGTATGAAAAAATAATAACACCTTCCGAAATATAAACAGTCTCGATATCTTGCATCCCTTGCCAAATCGTTTATAATAGATGGTCGTCCAAACTACTCTTTGGGGTATGAGCTTACTATTTTGACTTTGCGAAATGTCATTGCAAAACAGTAATGGCAAACGGAATTCTGAAAACATTATATCTGTAATCATGTGTAAAGGTATGAAAATAAAGCTCAGAAGTCAGAAGAGCTGATCCTTAAGGGAAGTATATGTTCACTTAATCGGCCACCAACTACTAATCATTACTAATGCTTTTAATTGAATATCATGATCATGGTCATCTAGGTCGAATGTGAGGCACGCACTTTTTTAAATCATTAATTCTATCCTCAAAGGTATTCAATTTTAAACCTTGATCTAAAATCTATGATGAGTTTATTCACAGGCAAAATGAAACATGAATTTATATTTTGGTTACAATGGTTACGTCCAAATCGAATTATAAAATCAATAGTATCATTCATATGATATATTTAATCTTATGTATTATGTGTATGTGTATGTGTATGCTGATGCTTATATTGTTTATTCATGAAATTCAAAAATTACAATAAACCTTGTTAAGATATGTTTTAAAGAATATACGAATGATTTAATTTCCATTTACTTATGTTTAAAACTAAAATCGTTTTATTGAAAAGAAGTGATACGAAACTGGAATAGATCTAGAAACACTTGATTAATGCATAGTACATTTAATTAAGAACATAGTTTCTTATATTTTGGTATTTACTTGAAAAATGATGCATTGAGTGGTTCCAAATACTCAGAAACTGTTTTTATATTAAGGTTAACAATCTGTATTCTTTTCCTGGTTTATTTGGTAAATTTCAAAATGAATATTTTGTCACAAGAAGTCTATTCTATCTTTATATGTTTCAAGTATATAGAATAATGAATATTTCGTGTTGTATTTGAAAAAAACTAAACTACCTTGCAAATTATCATCTAGAATATTGAAAGTGAAAAAGGAGTACTATCAATTACACGGTGAAATATCAACTATGAATACTCATCACAATAACAGAGGTATTGTAAAATAGAGAACTGTTGTGAACAGTTGTGAATTGTTAAATTAGCATTAGCTCTCAAATTCATGATAACCAAGTTTTATGTATCAGCATTTCGAATTTATTTGTCAGACACCAACTAAATAACCCCCGATAATAGATGGTCATATGCATCGATCTTTTTACCCAATACAACAGATGACCTAATATGAATACATAGCACAAGCATTTGTATAACGAACATTTTCTATGTCTGTTTGATGTCAAAAATCCAAAAGCTGATCATTGTTTTACTTGCATACGTGGAATTTTGTTGATATGGGTCTAATCAGTCAGCGAAAGTGTTTTTTTTTCTATTTGCCTAAGCTCACATTTTATTGTTGTCTTTCTATGTTTTTAATAGCATAACATGCTTAGTACATGTGCAATCCATCTCCAGTTAAGGTTCAAATTAAAAGTGGCATAGATACAGATACGAATGAGTTTAAATTATCGACATTTAAACCAATAATTTTTAATTTAGCCATATTTTAGCTTATTTTGATGAATAGTAAACCAAAGAGTCTAAACTTAGCTAACTATGATTGTCATTAAGTTTGATTGATTGATTGATTGTTGGTTGCTTCACGCCACATTAGCACAACAAGGCTATATCGCGGCGACATTAAGTTTGAAACAAGCAATCTACTTTTTGGTTGTTCAATAGTTATCAAAGGTACCAGGATTATAATTTAGTACGCAAGACGCGCGTTTCGTCTACATAAGACTCATCTGTGACGCTCATATCAAAATAGTTATAAAGCCAAACAAGTACAAAGAGGATCCAAAATTCCAAAAAGTAGCTAATATCCTATTGAAAAAAAAATTTAAAAAAATATTCATATCATCTTAAATGCATTTCTTAGCGAGGAGATTACAGGCCATGTTTAGTTACATGTTAATATTAATAGGCAATTATTGACAACCAAGTAGTTTAAGTTAGTCATATCTGCCGGTTTCATTCAACGGTAGTCGTTTTTTTATCGTTTTAACATAACTTAAATCAAATATTCTGAGTTCTTCTGTACTTGGCATCATTGTTGGTGAAACATATGAAAATTATAAACATAAGCGATGAATGAGATTCTTTCTAAAAAAACAGGATATATAAAAACAACTTACTTAAAAGTATTCAGTATTTTATATGAATGAATCAATATTGTAATACCCTTTTTCTGTCTACGTCAATATCTATAAGCTAGAGAATAATCACATAAACATGTTTTATTTTGAGTTAATTATTTGTAACGATTTTCCAAAAAAACAGTTTTATAATTTGTACATGCTCAGCTACTAAGTGAAATACCCTACTTGGAAAGGCACATATATTTCAAATCAGACTAGATTCATCATCTGAATATTGAAATGATAGTATTTATCGTTAAATTTGTATTGTGTCGTCTTCTGTTGTCAATGGTTAATAATAGGTAACTATGCTTGCTATGTCTTTGGTTTCAATAACTTTTAATATTTTATTCATTTCATTACATAACATTAATAAATTTGCGAAAATAGAACATGTACAGTGTATTAGCATTTTAACAATACATCAAATTATATGACATGGATATTGATTACCTTCAGGTTTCTTTATAATCTTTAGACATTTCTTAGTTATGCTTGCTATGACAATAGCACCGAACAGAGAAGCAAGGACTTCAGCATAGACTTGCGAAAAGTCGTCACCTGAAAAGAGGTAAATTGATTGAAATCCAACATTTTATAATTGGTACTATTCAGACATGGAAATTATGATATTCATTTCTGTAAATCAAAGTAGGCTCCCTAGAGAACGTACATTAACATAAAGATAATGTTCACTTGTGCTAGTAACTTGTAACTACTGGTTGAATAAAACTATTCGGTTGTTAAATGTTTACTTATCTTTTATCATTACAAAAATGTTACTCTTTTAGGAAAATACCGCGATACAAGTCAGAAACTAAACAAACAACTAAAACAAGACACCGCCAGTGCAAGGGAAAAGACACATATTGGTGTGCAAGTCTATGCACAAAAAATTATAAAGATTTAACAAAACCAAACTACTTAAACTTCAAAATGTTTTCACAAATTTCGATACAGTAAGGTAATTAGATACGCCATCTATTATAAGGGTGTCCATGTAATGTTGTTGGCGATAGTATTAAAGATTGTCACAAAACGATATTAATACGACTTAACACATATGGGTTCTGATCTTTAACAGAGGCTAAACGGTAACAGTAGAACAAGAGTTTTAAGTCGCAATTTATTCAAGTATATTTTTGGTTGTTTCGAAGTAATGTGTTTAGTTTAGTTTTTTCCTGCTAACTGATCTGCTTATTAAAACTCTCTCAGTAATTACTTAAACTTGAAACTTTTTGACGAAATAGGTCGGCACTTTGAAATCATATAATCGTTAACATTTATTCCAACGCTTCTAACAATAATCATGCAATAATGGTTGCATTATAGAACTTGTTAAGTCATTTCTTTAAAATGTTTTCCTGATGTAAGCATATATTAATTGTATGATTTAAGTATCAAAACGGATTCTGTAAATTGAGGAGGAATTATTTAACACTTGTACGGCACATGCATGAATTCCCTGTAAATAGTAGGGTTAATTATGTTAGATTTTGGCGGATGTTTGTTGTCTGTCTGTTAACTGTTCTATTCATTGTGGAATCGTGTCCTGATCATTTTTTTTTGTTGAGTTAACTGGTTTTTTTTATCTTCTATCCGTGACAAATATTAGTAAATGCTCGTAAATATCAATTTATGCATTATAAGTTGACATATATTTTATCGATAAAATAACTTGATGAAAATTTCAAGTTAAGATAGTAAACTGCTTTTCAAATGTCTTCCTTGTCATACAATAGTTGAAATATGAGACAGTGAGTACTTAATCTACATCATAAACTTTTTGTCTTTTGCTTCTTTTTTATGTTTAAATCTATTTTACGGCATAACATTTGTTGATTTAAAACGCATCGTCGCGTCATTCATTTGATTTAATCATAGTACTGCAAATATATTCTTAATAACAATCATTGAACATTAAAAATACATAAGAAATAGTAAAGAGACAACATTTAAAAAAAAGTGTTCTCTGCACTTCATGCACTAACTAGATGAATAAGGCCGTGTTCACACCAAACGCCATGTACAGTAAACATGTTTAAAATTAGTTTAATGTTATGTACACTGGTTTCACATTAAATTTGTTCACATCTATACACCTGGTTTAATTACCTGTACATAAGATTAATTCACACTTGTAAACTATATGTCATTTATATGTTCATTACATAAAATCGAATTCAAATTTCTTCGACAACTTTTCTAGCAGTTAGGGAATGACCATTTGACTTCAAAAAGGAGGGGGGGTATGGTTTTTTCCTTGAAAATATTCTGATCCCCAGTTTGATAAAAAAAATTCTGGTGAAGTAGATGACAAAAAAATTATTCTGAATCCAGATAAAATCAGTCGTTGATTGAGTAAAGACCAGTGGCAAATATTTCTGTGTACATCCAGTCGAGTCGAGAAGACATTTTCAAATGAAAAATGTTTTTGGTAATGATGATGCTTTGAGTCTAGATAAGGGGTTAATAAATCTACCTAAAGTTTGTTTTTATAACAAAGCAATACATTATGTTTAGACAATTAATTCTGTCAATTTTATTAAAAAAAAACATTTCTTTTTTTAAATATACATAGTAAAATTTACTTTCTTAATACCTAGTTTTGTGTACACTAAACCCACACAAGGCCTACATTGACTATCGACTGCATGTAGATTAAACATGATTTAAACTACATGTAAACATTGAGTTTTGTCAATGGGAACGTAATTGTGTTTAGTTTACGTGTGAATTACACTAACACACCACCAAGTTTAGGTCAATGTGAACACGGCCTCAGACATTATAACCCAATTGGTCTGTGCACATAGAACAATGGAGATCTGAAAAAAACAACCTCGTAGAGTGTAGAAACCTTGTATTATAGGTTTATAGGTAGATAGACGATTATAAGATTCACTCGACGACCTTACACAAAATATTGACTTGAACACTGTCTTTAGGATTTTTTCCTCCAGATCCATGAGAGCAACTCCAATTACCATTAACTATTTCTGGATCAAATTTGGTTATCGTATAAACTGTTTCGTTTGTTGATTTTATAAACGATGTAGAGTTGGTACAGACTGGTTCATGAATTATAACACAACGTGCTTGCTGAATATGGTTTTTGTAAATTACTACAGGCAGGAAAGGATGTGAAACTTTACAAATTAAAAATAATTGTTCGTCCTTGATCATCCATTTCAAACATACAGAATGACCTGTAAAAAAAATCAAATATGATTATTTTAATGGAAAAAAGTAAAATTACCAAAATACTGAACTCCGAGGAAAATTCAAAAAGGAAAGTCCCCAATCAAATGGCAAAATCAAAAAAACAAACACATCAAACGAAGGGATAAAAACTGTCATATTCCTGACTTGGTACAGGTATTTTCTTATGTAGAAAATAGTGGATTGAACCTGGTTTTATAGCTAGCTAAACCTCCCACTTGTATGACAGTCGCATCAAATTCCATTATGGAAACAATACTAGTACCACTATTATTACGCATAATGTTCTTCTTATTTTGTACACATGATCAATGAATCTTTTTATTTTTAATTTTTATATATCTTTTAAGTACTTCTTTACGTGTTGAAATAGTAAAATTTATTGATTGTTAGTGGTTTTCGTACAGATGCAATTAGCAAATGTTGATTTACAATTTTGATCATCATAACTTCTGGTAAAATAAGACTTTAAATTGCTAGTGCATGTATATTGGGCATCTGTTATTAAAACTACACAGGTTTTGCAGCCATAGACTCCGTATTTTGAAATGCGACAGTGTTGTCTAGAGTCATTTACATACATTCTTGCTATTGACATTAGTATGATAATCTGAATGTGTCATAATTGGGATATTTGTCATGTCTGGTAATAAGGGGACACCTGTTATATCAAGACGATGTTTGTTGTTTTACCTTTTTATACTGAAAGACGTCTGAACCAGTATTCTGTTTGATCATTGTAACTTCATGCAATATTGCTACTAGGCGGATGATATTCTCGGGGACTAAATGTCCACCAGCAGAGACATCGACCCAGTGATTGTAAAAAAGAAGGTGTGACCTCGCGAATTCATACAATAGTGACAAGATGAGTTTTGCACACAGAAGTCTCTTCAGGTGCGCTTGAATAAAAAAACTTTCTATTACATATTTTGAAAATTTGTAAAGCTGTTTAAAAACTAAGAAAACTTATCAATTTCAAGAAAAAGGCTAAACCAAGAATCCTTTTTATATAAATACTCATTCTGCGTTTTAAAATAGATTATTTTCAATTAAAAATTTCCTTATTTAAACTCACAAAGAAAAACACAACGTCACAGTACTTGTTTGTGAGAATTATTGGTTCAATATCTGATAATTTCAAACAAAGTATACAAAGGCAAATGTAAGATGTATGATAAAACAAAGGTGTATTGAACTACTGAAGATACAATGACTAGTTTGATAGACTGAGTTAGAAATTTATTGTAGGATACCTTCGAAATAAGAAAGTCTTCCTCCTATATGATTTTTGCCTACTATCAAAACACCAGATGGGGCAGCTTTCATATTCATATTGATGGCGCTTACAACCTCCATAACACGGACTCCATGATATTTTATCTATCTCCTATATATAAACCCTTTTGTTTTTCATGTCCCACCTAGGGGCATCATAATTTTCGGTCTATGTCTGTTCGTTCGTCCGTCTGTCCCGACACAGTCGACGTTTTTACATCCTTTTAAACTTCAAACGTCTTCAAACATCAAGAAAAGAGGGGCGAAAGATACCAGAGGGACAGTCAAACTCATAAATCGAAAATAAACTGACAACGCCATGGCTAAAAAATAAAATAACAAACAAACAAGTAATAGCACAAAAGTCTCAACATAGAAAACTAAAGACTTAGCAACACGAACCCCACCAAAAACTGGGGGTGATCTCAGGTGCTCCGGAAGGGTAAGCAGATCCTGCTCCACGTGTGGCACCCGTCGTGTTGCTCATGTTATTACAAACCCAGTAAATAGTATAATTCGGTAGGTCACAATATGTTCTTTTTTTTAGTAAGAGAATTCTTTAGGCATTTTTGCATATGCAATATTGGCATTATCTAATATAAACACAGTGTCTTGTGTGTGTGAAGTTCATTATGGAAACACCTGTTCTATATGAAAAATTTACACAAATGTGATACATTGGACACAAAACATTCAAACTTGGAACTCTACTCAATAAATTTTTCTTGTATAAGAAACATTAAAATTTTAATCTTGATATTTTTTTTTCGAACTACTTTTTCTTCATCAAATACACATGAATGTACTATAAACATACACAAAAAAAATCTTACAAGATAACGATAGAGAAATTGTAGTAAACCAGCCAATACAAGCAAGTAAACATGGTAAACGGGATTCATCAGCATGTTGAAAATAGTTTAAACTCATTGGATTTTTCCCTGGTCAAGTAAAGCTGTTTAAATACAGGAGTCCCTAAAGATGCGACCTGGGCGACTTATTCATATAGGTATTTATATATCAGGAAATGCTTGAAGAAAAATATTTGTTAAAAAAACATGTTGAAACTACGTTTATACATATAAACATAAAACTATACTACAAAAGGGACGAGTTTTCTTTCCCTATCGTTAATTGTCCTTACATGGACGGTGATGTTCCTTCCGTACTGTCTTACCAGTTTAACATGGTTAAAGGTATTTGACACTATCATTTGTTGTACACATCAAAATCTGATCAACACATTTAAATATTGTCAATACAAATGTTGTTATATGTTTCGCATTCTAGTTGAATATATATATAAAAAATTTAAGTGAACCACTTTTTTTAATGCTAAAACAATGTTGGTTTGTTTTGGATTTTCGATCCCAGCATAAATTAACTAATCGATATTTAGTTATTTTTTTTCGGAATTTAGGTCATCAATGTCCTTCAACATGTTCAACTTAGTACTTCCTTTGATCTGTATTAACCTTTTCCATTCGAGTGTCACTGGTGAGCGTCTTTTGAATACAAAACAATTATCTATGTATCTACGATGAGTGCCTTGGTTTATAGGAATGATATAATTTGTATGACTTTTTTTCATATTGAAATATAAGAAATGACGGAAAATCTTGAAAAAAAAATATGTATATAATACAAAGATATAGCTACATACTTATTTCTAGTAAATTTGATGCTTGAGAAAATTTGAAGAATAGTTCATTTTGTAAGAATATCGTTGTAACAAGAAGTAGTCCATCTCTCATAGCTGTTAAATCACATGACTGTGGAAAAAAGAGAATATAATGGCTCTGAAAAAAACATTATCTTCAACAGCAAACGAAATTGGAACTAAACAGCTCTTAAATTAAAGAGGAATAATCTATTGATTCATTGTGAGTAGCTAAATAAATTTTCAGACTTAGCTATCACGATTGACATGGTATCATTCAGATAACTCGCTTGAAATCAATTAAAATCTGTTCAGTAACTGAACATGAGTCAATGTTTAGAATGTTTAGTTTTTTACCTATCCACATCAACAGCATACTGAATTGTCTGAAGAAAAACAAATACTGAACGATACCCAATTAAATTCAAACGAAATATCTAAACAGTACTGAGTCTGCAGCAATGGCTCATTCTAAAATTAACCTTAATACCTGTACTGAACATGACTGAATAATTTGTTGTTCGGATTTTCCTTATTATCTAAGTATTATTAATAATCATTTCATACTAGAATTAATTTATAAGAACTTATAACGATTCATCACTCTTGATTGCTTTGTGTATAGCTCTTTCCCATTAACCATTTAGAGTGGCTTGTCTCTAAGTATCATTTGATACTAATATCACTCTTTGAGTAAGTTGTTCAAAACCTGATTCATTCTGAATAAAATATTTTCTAAAGCTGAATCAATGTTTTAACTACCTATGAGTAATATTGCTATCTTTTATTAAACCTATTTATGAGAAGTGATTCATATGTCTTTTTTTAAAGGTCCAAGCAAATAAAATAATTTAGCAAATACGACAGGTATAAAAATCGCAAACCTAATTAAATACCTTAAGTATATTAGAGTGTAATAATAAGGAGATAGTCTATGATTGTACATATTGTAGATAAAACACCTTTTAACAACTATGGTCTTTAAACAACCCTATCGTCAATACTGACCAAGGGGCAAGGAGTTGAACTATATATTTCCTTCACCACTGGGCAAAACAAATATCGACTAATATTAAAACAATAAAGGATTTTTTTAGTACATGCATATCAACAAACTTAAAAGAATACATCAACAAGCTGCAAGATTCATAGCCTGCAAATCCAAAGATGATGGTTGCGTTTCAAACATGCTAGCAAAACAGGAATTACAAGATCTACAAACAAGTGGTTGAAGAGCTGATTCCTGCTATAGACCCAGACGAATATTTTAAAACGTACGTTCTGAAGAAAAATTACTGCAAAACACTACAATGTTCAAATTTATTTTTCATAAAAAAAACAGTGGAACCACCACAAAGACACAGTAGTGCGCGCCTCGAGAGTTGAAATCTTAAAACTGCTCTCGCGCACCGTCAATCGATCGACGGCGCTCTCTCTCTTTACCGTTGCACGTGTGTATAAATGCCAGTATAGGTTCAACAACGTACTGATATAGATACAGATATCCACTATTTAAAGTTTAAAATGTTCTCAGAATATCAAATTTATAAAATAACCTTACACAGAAACAATCGATGAACTGCCATCAATAAGTCATTTTGCTAGTCAGTTTTGAGAATTTGAATTGTTTTATTGATAAGGATGTTTGCTATTCTTGTTTTTGATTTTTTGTTAGATATTCGGAATCCTGTGGTTTCATCCAGATATTGTTGACCGCAAACCCATACTTTTCGTTTTACAACTTTTAAACAAATCCTTTAATATCCTTGTTATTTTTTTCATGTTATTGAAATAAAAAAAGGTTCTTATATTCACTTGTTTGTTTTAATATGTCTTATGATTGAGTGAAGCCATTTCAATTGATATTTTATAGTGTGTCTTTCTAATATTGTGATGTTACACTATTGTTCCAGATAAGGTTTAAGGTTGGTACTTATCAAAACGTTTAAACCCGCTGCATTTGTTTGCACCTGTCCTTAGTCAGAAACTTGATGTTCAGTGGTTGTCGTTTGTTGATGTGGTTGATAAATGTTTTTGTTTCTCTTTTTTATATTGATAAGACCGTTGGTTTTCCCGTTTGAATGGTTTTACACTAGTCATTTTGGATCCCTTTGTAGCTTGTTAATCGATGTGACCTATAATGGTTTACTTTTACAAGTTATGACTTGGATAAAGATTTGTCTCATTAGCATTTATACCACATCTTTTTATATATAATTATGATGTAAGCAAAATCTAGAGAAAATTGTTACCCACAAAATGTTCAATGGATTATTTTTTTTTTATTTTTTAAATTGAGACAAGAACCTGCAATGATTTCTACTTGTGTTGTTCCGCTTTATGTATTATTAAAATTTGTATCAGTTTAAAAAGCTGATATTTTGAAACAGAGGAGGGAATTCTCTTACTCTTGAAATCAGTAAACTGAACAATTGACTTTGTACAAAAGGACCACGCCGACTCTTTTAAAAATGTTTTTTTTTTGTTCCAGATTTCGATTAACAAATATTTGAAGTTAAATTTATCTGAAAAGAACAATCCGATTCACTATTTTAAGATTTTGGTTTTCGATATTCAATCCTTAATCACGTGATTAATCGGTTTACTTACAAGTCTAACGTACACTCTTACAGTAGTCAGCTGCTGACATTGTGCATAATTTTGTGTTGGCCTATATCTATGTTTTCGTTTTTATCATCTTTTTCTTTCCTGCGTTTTGGGAAAAAAGAAAGTTAAGATACAAATAGTTCAGGGAAGCAGATTAATTAAATGGCTGCAAGAAAAAGACTAAAAGAAGATCAACAACATGAACCTCTACGAGTACAATTTTCTCTACGTTTTCTTTGGGAGACCTCTCGTTAATATATTTTTACAAATGTTTTAATAAAAATTATAGAATTGTTTGTTTTGTGTACTTTTCCAAAATAAAGTATATTAAAATCTTAACAATTTAGCTGGTTAGAGAAAAAAGACAAAGATCACGAAACCAATTTTTACCAAAAAAGTTAGACACATCAGCTAGATATGAAACAAATTTGACAAATAATAACTATTTATAACCCAAAAATTATAAGGATAGAAGGTGCAGTGGAAATAATTTCTTATTGCAAATGTAGAAATCGACGATCTAAGCTAGAAAATTACTTGTTCCAGTTAATCAGTGGGTTTGACCTTCTGCTTTTACGAAAAGAATGGATTAAACCATGGCAAAGTAAATATGATGTTGAATTTTGGACAAAATACATCACATGTACGCCGTTAAATGATTCTCTGTTTCACACTAAATATAAGGAAGACGGAATACTTGGAGACAGCAATTATGAATATAAGGAAATAAAGTATGTCAAATGTAATGGAAAGTAACATATGTTTGATACATTGAATATCTTTCCTAAAAGTGTATCTGATAAATTAATTTCGGATTCATTATAATCTGGATTAAGAATGCAAATTTGTTTTGATATTTATTTTCCACAGACTTCCAACTTTTCATAAGATAATATTTTAATACCATCTTCATTGTTAGGAAGTTATAATTGTATATCTAAAGGTTTTAATGGATTTATTTTCTCTAAAATGGTTACGAAAAAATCCCAATGAACTTGTATCTTTACTGTTGCGTCTATATGTGTGTATTTCTTTCCAAGGAGTATATGCACATTTTGATCACTCTTTTCAATAATCATTTACGATTGAAGTTGAATAAGAATTTGAAAACAAACAACGAGAAGAAAGACAGAACGGACTGAGTGACATAAAAACAACTGTTGTAAACCACGAGAATGTGCATAATACTTGAACTGATCGATTGATAGTGACGACACGATAATGAATAATAATTGGAATAAAAGGATATTAAGGTGGTACCAAACACCTTGACTAAAATTAATTTGGTTCGTTTAATTTTCCTAAAATTTTGACAAATTTTTACTTTGGCCCTTTGACAAAAATATAAAAATTTCCAAAAACTTGTACCACACACTTTCTCGGAAAAGGCTATATAGCAGTTTGACAAACACTAGTTTTGATCATTGAGAAACTTAATATGTTCTTAACATACACCGTGATTTAAACGTTTAACTGGTTTTTACAGAGTTATTTCCCTGTAGTGTTATGTACCATCTTAAAACAAATCGAAAGATCATTATCTGCTTGAACTATTTGTTCTTAGAGTACTAACAGCACTCAATAGGAATAATCATTCAATTTAAACAAAATGATCAGTTCATAAGATATGTATTTCGATCGGTCCTACCCTCAATTTGTCATGTTTCCAAATTTGTTGTACTAACATTAGTGTGAATAATTTTAATTACGCACTGATAATGACAGTATCAAATAAATGTCTTTATAAAAATCATCAAATGTTTAGCTGTTGGGAGTCTATGATACCATCGTCATATCATGATGAGAGGATGGTTTTAGGCTTCAATTTTTATATTATCTGTTAATGTGATACTAGTATATGGAAGATTAGCACTTCCCCTAAAACGTTTGAGTTTTGCCTGTATATTTTCTGAACACAAACTATTCTGATTATTCAAAATATTCAGACCTTACAAATATACCAATTATGATTTAAATAAAGAAATGTAAATGTCATATATAACGTATTGTATCGTTTAGCCAATCAATCGGCTCTACCTAAATTTAGCCTTTGTGTATGTTTTTGCAGTATTTACCATAATTTACAAATAAATATAAAACAACGCAAACACTATTACAACTCATTTGATACAACACTAGCCATAAACATAAACATTAAAAACATCTATTCAAATATAGATTAGTACTAAGACGGGTATATATGTTTTGCAGTTGCGTTCTATTGCTTTATTAACAAAACATGTTTCAAACATATATCTTGAGCTAATGGGTTATTTTGACATCACACAGATTAACATGACGGACGATGCATGGTAATCGGAAAATTTATTTCACAACATATGCCTTGGTAGTAATGATTTTTTTTTTCTTAATTGCTTTAAAAAAAAATGAGGCATTGGATTGAAATGAGTGGTAATGACTTCTAATTGATTTACACAATCTTCATCTAATTTTGAATTGATGAACTAAAGGTTTTCCAGAGTCGGTAAGTTTAGTTCAATCTATTAAAAAAAACCAGTGCATAATCAAAATTATACAGTCTATGACCAATTTTCAACTATAATCATCTCCTGAAGCAGTTCCCCTCCCCGAATTGTCAATCCCCAGTTACTTTAATTTTCTACTTTAAAAACAACCGACAGGCATCTACTTATATATGTGTTTTGATTAATCATTGTATATTTAACACTTTGTTGAGATATAACTAGACACTATAAATCTATACTGTATCCTTAACAATGATTATTATATACAAAATCGAAAAAACTTAAGCTAATAAATACATCTAGTTAATCGAAATCTCTTTCCAAAGAAATTGGTCAATTTACAATTATTGATCTTTTTCAACTTTGAAATAAAATGACAAGCCTCTACATGCATATTTGTTTTGATTAGTAGTCATTGTATAATTAACATATTGTGAAGATGTGATTAGACGCAATAAACCATAAATGTATTCTTTACAAGGATTCATATGTGCACAATCAACAAAACTTAAACTAATTCATTTGGTTTACCGAAAATTTAAGTTTTACCTTGTTAATTCTTCAAAAATATTTTCTCATCAAGCTACCATTTTAATACCCAATGCGCATGTTCAAATAAGTGAGTTTTGGCAAAATTGTAGAGATGGGAATGTAAAAAGTCAAGGTAATTTAATGCTTTATACATGGTATTAGAGATTTAGAAAAATCATAATCTTATTTTTAAACGTATAATAAACATCATGAATTATTTAGTCTTTAACGATTAACTATACATGCATGTCTTCACATCGTTTTTAGGTCAACAACCGATGAGAATATCTATATACATAGAATTAGAATAGCTAAAGAACGTAACCCCTAATTGAACTGGACTAACATTATACTTTATGAATACTTCGTTAAAAGTTCAGACCAGCAATGTAAGATATGCACTTATGCGTCAGACACAAGTAAAACATTCTTATGACGTCCTCTCCGCAATACAATATATGCAATAGTAAAAAATGAATGTGAGCATGATTTTCTATTAAAAAAAAAGAACACAAATATTCCTTACCTATAAAAATGAAAGGAAATAAAGAAAGGACGACGACAACAACGACGACTAAAACGGTAAAATGATGATGATGATGATGATAATGATGATGATGATGATGATGATGATGATGCTGATGATGATGATGATGAGGATGATGATGACGATGACGATGATGATGATGCTGATGATGATGATACTGACTCGATATACATGATTTCTATCATATATTTGGAAACATATGATAACGATAGGAATGCATGTCACGAACACACTATCGTGTCCTTTATTAATAATCTTGTCAGAATTGACTCTTTATTTTCTTCGTATACACAATTGCTTTATCATTATAATGATTCTCACTGGATTAAATAGATACAAATATGCATCAAAAATATATTCTACAGTTGATGCAATCAATAGTATAATGCGTTTTATTAATACCGATTAGATGGGATAGGGGTATATATGAATAGCCGTCGTTATAATACAATTACAAATTGAAGTAGTTTAACAATTTTTTTTTGTAATAACACACAGAAAGAGATACAATCTACAATGTTGATTCGAGTGTAAAGTTAGTTTAAAAACAATAAAGATATATTAAGATATAATCATAATAGGTATTCTTAAGACGTTAAATAGATTCAAATGATAAATTTAGTTATGTAGAAGGTTGTAGTGGGGGATTGTTTTATATTCAATTTTATTCCATGTGATATAGGGGAAATTGTATTGAAAGGTGACTACTGATATGCTAACATTTGTGTCTCTGATTATATGTGATATATAGTAATACCCTTTGATATCTCCCGTCTCTTCAATATGAAAAAGTAATATCACAAAAATACTGAACTCCGAGGAAAATTAAAAACGGAAAATCCCTAATCAAATGGCAAAATCAAATGATAAAACACATCAAACGAATGCACAACAACTGTCATATTCCTGACTTGGTACAGACATTTTCAAATGTAGAAAATGTCGGATTGAACCTGTTTTTTTAGCACTAAACCCCTCAGGGACAGTCGCACCAAATTCCATTACATTTACAACGATGCGTGAACAAAACAGACATAATAGGTAAAATTGTCAAAATAGTGGTACAGCAGTCATCACCGTGACACAATCTCAATCAGAACAAAAACAAACAAATATTTAACAAAGAAGCACAAAAAAGCATATATCAAATTTAACAACCACGTTCATTGCTTATTTATTTTTGTATTTAAAATCAACCCATAAAGGATTGAAATGTTTGAAGTCCTGTAACTGAATGGCTAGGATCACATCAACTCTGGTGTAGAATCGTGTGTTTGACGTCAGAATGTAAACGTCACACAGGTAGAGCTATAAAATAATTTTGTCGTTCAAAATTATTATAGAACAATAACATAATGACATTATAATAGAATAATAACATAACGGTGGGATGTTTAAAAGTACAGAGCCACGTCATATGTACCAAAGAAATTCAAAAAGTCACACGTACAAAGCACACCAGCAAAAATTAAAGATAATACAAACAACACATTGACGGGATGCATAGGTACCGAACCACGTCAAATGGATATCACCAAAAAAAACCAGACCAAACAGTAAAAGAAGCTTGACTAATGGTGCAACAACTTTTTAACATTTAAAGCTGACGGAAAATCGACCTGGTCACCACAAATATTTTCATGTCATTCAATTTTCGTATGGTTAAACTTCAATAGTTTTGATAGTGTTTTGTTCAAATTGACTTTGCAATGTTATGTTATGTATTAATAGAACTCAACCAACCAATGTTATGTCAAACATTCATGGAATTTTATAAAACTTGTATATTTGTTTCTGATTGAATTAACTAGCTTTTTAGATACATTCTACGTTTTAAGGTTTAAGTTCAAACCTTTTTATAGTGTTGACGCTGATTCCTGATTTTAAATATAGATTATTTTGTTTAATACTGTGTGGGTCTTTGTCAATAAGTTTTTAAAGTAGTTCATTTACGGTGATTATCTAATCTGTCAACACTAATGTTGTGAATAAGGACATGTTTTTGGCAAGGCGAGTTAGGCTGAGATCTAAACAATTGACCAGGATGTATTTTCTTCCAGTCAAATTGGGTGGTTTTCTATTATAAATCCGGTTTTCTTCATCAAAAAATAATTGCCGACATAATATATTGAAAGTGCTAAAACAAATAGCGTCACACAGCAATCAACCAATCGATGAAATGTAAGGTTATTTAAGCTACGATTTTCAATGAATTATTTCACTTCTCGTTTTGTCCTTTATCTTGTTTACTTTTGTTTTCTTAGATCATAAATGAACCAAGTGGTCCTCACTTTGTGCAATTTATCAATATTTCTAGCCAATGAAATCGGTAAGTCAATATATGATGATTTAGACACGTTTATTTTTTCTTCAAATAATAATCAATACTTAAAGCCATATTATGTAAACAGACCTGCTCAAATGGACGGCCGTTGATGTACACTCTCCGATGGTTACACAGTGATACTCATTTGGTGAAAGATACAAGTGCGTAGGGGTTATGGTAAAGTTCGATTGTCAAAATTGAATTTTATATTTACACTGAAAAGATTTAATATGAAGTCAGAACCACATTTAATCGTGGTGGTATATTTAATAGCATTTTATCTCGCATTCAGTATATAGTGGTCGGATTTCTGGTCAGGTCACATTAAAGATTTTAGAATTTAAGTTGTCTGATAACCTGCTAAGGACGCATCAATTTTGAATGAGAAAATTGACTGGATAAAATCAGAATCTTTATAATGGGTTCGATGCATCTATAAAATTGAGAACGGAAAGTGGGAATATGTCAAAGACAACAACCCGACAAAAGAGCTGCCAACAGAGCAGACAATAGTATTTATGTGGACTGCCACTTCGGTTATTGCATATAAAAAATGGTTTATTGTGTCTGTCTATATTTTCTAGTAGGAAGTGGGATTTCTTTCATTTGATTAAATTTAATTAGTTTTCGTCATGTCATAGCTTAATAAACATTGTTCACTTGTCGTATTTTCAACATCCACCAAATAAATCAAAACAATTTTAAGGTAATAAAACCCCAAAAAAGACTTTATGATTGGCTGCCTCTTTGCTTAGCATGAACATTAGTCGGGTACATTTTGGTTTAATTTTGCAAAGTAATACAAATTAAAAATCAGGTTTAGAGTGCCAGTCTATTAAAGAAACAATTATTCAGTAAATCTTAATATAATACATGACAATTTGTATTGTTATTGACATAACTATAAATAACAGTAGACTTATAGAGCTTTCAATTGTTGTAAACTATCCATCCTTAAGGATAAAAAAGACAGAATTATAATTCCGTTGTATAATATTCTAACAAAATCGAAAATATTGGCACCATCTTTTTATGCGACATTACATTTGGAAATTCTACACTTAAATGTCTTCATTTTTATGTCAACCAATATATTCTGAGGTATGAACAGTACTCAATTATCAGACTTGTTTAATTTTAAATTTGACATGTATCTTTTCAGAAATAAAAGGTCAACTTGGCTAATAGTCCCCGCATGCATATCGACCAAAAACTGCCATAAAATATTAGCATTGTCATTAGGTCCTGTCATTGTCGCTGTTGGTCAGTCATTGTTTAAGTTGCTCAGGTCACATTCTCGGAAGCTTTGAAAATAACTGTGTTATTTTCTTATGTTTGAATATCAAATGATGAAATTTTCATATATTTTAAATTTGAAATAAAACCTTGGATACATAAAATGTCATTAGCATTTTTGTTTTGGTCCTGTCATTTTTCTGACACTGTCCTGTCACTGGTCCGGTCATTAGTGTTAATCCACCATGCAGTAGTAAAAGTGCGTTAAATTTTTACAAACAAATTAAAGACGCGCTTTTTACGCGTTAACGCGTAGGTAAACGCCCATTTACTATGAACACAATTAGAAGACGCGCCTTTTTACCGTTAACGCGGAAGAAATCGTGGAAGTAAACGTTAGTTTAATTTTGTTGTCTAGTAAAATTTGGAGTAAACGCACAGTTAACGCGGCGTAAAAATTTTCCGCGCGTCTACATTTAATGCCTGGTCTGTCTCCAACTGTATCAATTGTTAAACTTGTAGACTGATATTTGATCATATTCCTACATTTCCAAATAATCTATTGAACAGTATTCAGAATTGTATTCTGTTTTGGTTATGCTATTATATTTTTATGTAATGGTACATTGACAGTATGATAAGTTCGTCCCTTCTTGGGATATCTACAGTGTAATTCAGCACATTATACATTTAAAACACACCAAAACTATAGTCCCAAGTTGCTTCTATAATGTTACAGCTGTGAAGAAAATGTGTGAGGGTTTCGTTTTCTGTTTTACATAAATGGCACTTACTATTATTGGATTTGCCCATTCTAAATAGGTTTTGCTCATTATATATACATGATATTATGTTATGAACAATTTTCCTAGAAGACATAATGTTATTTAAATTTCCCTATATTTGTTTCCAAAGTAATTCCGATTGATACTGCATATTCCATTTTATTATATATTTTAGACTTATATCTAAATATAACGAATATTGAATCAAAGGAAATGAGACAGTTATAATAAAATAGTTTCACTCGTAAAGGCTCTAGAAAAAAATTCGTTTCAAGACGTTACATAACACGGAGCATTTTTTTTTTTTTTTTTTTTTTTTTGAGTTGAAACATATGATCAAATTAAGGTTATGCAAAACGATACGTCAACAGCTTAGTAAGCTTAGGCGTAAGAAAATTGAAACTGGAAGTGCATGTCACATATTAGCCCATGGGTCAATACGGCTTTTTCCGACAATGTTTTTCAAATCATTTACAAATGAAGTGAGCGAGAACTGCGATTATCATTTATCGATATTTCGTTTCTTATTGGTAATTCTATTTTTGAAGGAGGATATTACTTTGATTCGATCCAACAGTATTTTAATTTTTTTTTAACTCATCAGGTTACTTATGCTCGTGTCTGTGGTGCCGTTTTGTGTCTCAATAACGTAAATGCGTATTTACTACGCTGTTATAAATAATAATAAATATATAATCATATTGTTTGTCATAGATCAGAGCGTTGGTTTTTTATTTTGATTTATTCAAAGTGTGTCATGTCGTGACCTTTTATATCATACTATTAAGTATGGATTTTTCATCGTTGAACGCTGTACGGTTATCAGTGATGCCCAAATACATGTTATTTCGACTGTGTTGGATAATTGTCTCAAAGGCAATCCTAAAATAATATCTCCTTATTTTTTATTTTGACAGAAATACATGTACCTCTTTCAATTAATCGAAATACTAAGAATGTTCTACCGTTAGGAATAGATGGTTAAACTTACCATGACGCAAGTTTTCGAAATATTTGGTTTCTAATGATCTTTCACCTCGTATTTATCTGAACATTTCAGATGATGAGTTTATTTCTCTGTGTGCCTTTAGATTGACACACATTTGACATAGAGATCGCAATTTATAAAGCAACACGATAGGTGCCACATGAAGAGCAGGATCTGTTAATCTTTCTAGAGTACCTGATATCACCCCGGGTTTTGTTTTGTCAAGCCTTTTATGTTGTATTTTGTGTACTGGTGTTTGTCTTTTGGTTATTTTCTAAATTTTGGCCAAGGCGTTGTTAGTTTTTTTTTTCGCCTTATGAGTTTGAATGTCCCTTTGGTATTTTTCACATCTAAATGTTATAAAGAAAAATGATACTGTTTTTCATGAACAGCATTTGCACTTAAACATGAACTTTTTATATTTACCTATCAATATTTGCATTTTTTGTATATTATAGATTACAAGACAAATAGCAATTTCAGTTTGGAAGTTTCGTTTGGAGAGAATTCAACATTAATTTCATTTTCATTAACAATTACAGCACGTCCACTTGCAGATACCGTAGAATTCGTAGTGAACGATAGAGCAATTGATTCCATTCGTTTATACAATCAAAAATGCTATCACAAAAAAGGCGAATGTGCAGAAATTAATTGCCGGTGTTTTAACAAAGATAATTCGTTTATCTTTATTTACAAGCATCATACTATTCTATCGGACGAATCTTGCATATATGGATTTATATTTGTTATCAAAGACATACAGGAGCAAACGATAACATTAACAAGGAATTTCAACGGAAAACGTACGTATGCAATGCTTAATATTTTGTTGCTTCGAAAGATATCAGTTTTGTCTCTAAATTTAATAGCATAAGCCTTCTGATAAGGAATCAGGTATTGACAATTAAGTTTGAAAGACATTTTCCAAAGATAGAATTCAGAACAGACATACGTGTGAATCTTGTCTACGTTGTTTTGTAATTTCAACTAAAAATAAATCTCAACACGCTTACATTTCATACATTGTCCTAGATAAGCAAATTAAATAAAGGGGCAAATCTGACACATTGATAACCACAGCACTTTGGCCTTTGCAACAACAACAAAAAGATAAACAATACGATTGATAGGCACTTAATCGAAAACAAAAGATTGTGTGTTGTTTATGGTTGATAAATACTTATTGGCGATGTCACAAAAAGAGAAAACTGTCGTAGCGTGACTTATATATTGACATTGACAATAAGTGTCTGATTAAAATTAACTTTATGATTAATGGGATTATTTCAGCATTCTAACTGTGATTTTTTTTAAATGAGGTAACAATCCAAATGAGACATTTTTTTTGTCATATCTCCCATGTATTCCTGTCTTTGTGCGTCTTTTATTACTTACTCGAGAGATGATTGCTTCATTTTTAAGGAAGTGATTGACCATGCGGTAATTTATTTTTAAAGTTAACAAACCCTAACTATTTTTTGGTTGACTACGAAAAAGAATCTGTGCCAACAATGACCACGGATATATTATAACAATTGTCAAAAACATTATTTTATACTCTTATTTGCAGTTCTGATATCACTGAATGTGAAATATCATGTCATGCGGAGATTGGCGGATGACACAGTTTGTTTATAATTCTTAAATATTTCTATTTAACACACTGAGATATGGTACATGTATGATACGTGTGGCTCAGTCGTTAGATTTTCTTTGTTATGTTTTTGCAGGGTAAGCTATTGTTTGTCGTCGTATTTTATTTCTTTCGTTATAGATTCGTCTTTTTCTTTTCTTTTTTTTCATTTTTCTTATGTTATACGCTGTCATGTTCAATGTATATATTTTATAATTGTTAAATGTATACTTTACAAAGTGAATGAATGTAATGCGGCAAAATAATTTACAGGCAAATTTAGATTTAAATGTTAAGATACACTGCAGGATCTCCACGTGTTCGCTTTTAAGCTACATGTATGATATTCCTAGAAGTTTAAATGAGGTAAGATAAATGTATATACATTGATTCGTATTGGAAAAATATGATGAATACTATAAGGTTAAAGTATAATGTTGACTAATTATTGTATTTTATTTAGATTTTGGGTCTCTCCAAATCCATGCAGAGCTACACAATCCTGTTGACACGATCTATGTAAATAAAGGTAAGGTACACATACATTGTTTCATACCGGTATCTGTTTCGTTCTGTTTAAGGCGATAATTTAAGTCAGAAACAACATGCTACTTCATCTTTTGATATTTTCTCAATTGCACTTTGAATTATAAAATAAGAATGGCGTCGTTCAAACATAAAAGTCTTGTTAATAATTGTTCAGAAACACAAAACAAGAAAAGACTTTCTTGAATTTAAAACATGTACCGTATAGTGAACAATAAAAGAGTCATGAAATAATTGAATATGCGACAAACAATAGAACAACACACTGAATCACCCAGACATACTCTTACTTGAAACAGTGACGTAAAACACAACATAAGAGTATACTGTAATGAGCAGTTGAAAAAGGAAATACTCATCTCATCAGCATTATAAAAGGAAATACGTTGACAAAAACACATATATAGTAACAGTTTTTTTTTCATTGACACAAACACATGAACTATTTCCAAACTTTTGCTGTCAACAAATTTTAAATGCTGTGTTCAAAATATAAAACCTTATAGTTTTTGCCTTGCACAATTATGGTATGTGCAACTTGATTCAAACATATCGTTCCATGTTCAAATAAGTGCAGACTTTACAGATACGGTATATCCTTTCATTGTTGACATTTAAAATTAGCATGTTATTTCCAGAGATTTAAGATATATGATGAATTGATTGTCCTTGACCATTTTTAGGTCTAAAGACTGATTTAACAAGTACAACATTCAGCTTATTGCTGATTTTCTACTACTGCTGTTAATTGTTAGCATACATCATGGTAAGAGATTTATATCGTCATATTTAAATAATGCTGTAAGTTCAGTACCTTTTTCAAAAAAGAGAAGTCACAATAATTTCATGTCATATGATATATAAGATAGCAACATTATTTGATAATAATGAACACATATTTCAAAAATCAACCTGTTAAAGATAAAAACACTTTTAAGCCTGGTTACTCTGTAACGTCGTTTCAGTCTTGCTCTCCTCAATGGACCAAGTGTTTGAAGGTCACAGGAGTGCAGGCGATATCGGACAGTTTGGTCTGAAATTGTGTTGTTGGATCCATGTATACGCCTGCAGGCTGTCGCTACTGCAGTAACGAAGATCTTACGAATTTAACTTTCCCGACGTACCGTCGTCGCTCCAGATAACGCAGAGAATCAGATGGTGTGACTGTGTCCTTCATACATACAAATTTTCTTTTAATTATCATTCTGTGTGATTTGAATTGGTAGCAAAAGCAGTCTGTGACATTTCTTCTTGCACCATCCCAATGATCCTTTCCGTCTTATCTTGTCGTAGACTATGTATTGACTTACGTGTAAAATTCATCATTTTTAAATTCATCATTTGTTTACTGATTTAATCGACACAATGCTTGACCTTCACATTGGGATGAAGCTGTATTTAGAAATTAGAAAAAAACGTTAATACGGGAAAAAGTTACAATATTCCAAAACATATTCAAACGACCAAAATCGTTAATAGTACATCATATTTTTAAATGTTTAGACACTAGATGAATTCACTATTCACGAAGTTTTCCAAATTTAATAAAATATTATCTAACTTTCTCAGTTTTCAAATTTTTTTTTGCTTTTTGCCTAATATTTTTCTAGGTAATCATTGTTCCTAATCTGATATTTCAAAACTCAAGATGAGATATATTGTCTTATGAGATAACTACCCATGAATGACAAAATAACTTGAATGCTAACATCTATTAGTAACTTTTCCTGACCTATACATTTCTAGGAATATGGTTGGTTAAAAACAAACGCGTGGAGACCGTGTATATTTTATACGGAGTTAGAAGGCGTAGTTTATTTGTTCAATGCACGATAAGAAGAAGGGTTGCGTCCGTATGTAAAAACAGCACAGAGTTTATGAAAAATCAGATGAGTAAACGATTAATACGGTGCTTTTGGTCCAGGATTTGCTTTTTGTACGCTTTTGCTTTTTGTCCGATAATTTAGCTGTTTGACCGACAATTTTGCTCTTTGTCCGTTGGTTTCGGTCCTTTTTTCCTTTGTGTACGTTTTTGCATTTTGTCCGATAATTTTGCTTTTTGACCTACAATTTTGCTCTTTGTCTGTTGCTTTCTGTCCTTATTTATGTTTTGTCCGATAACTTTGCTTTTTGTTCGACACTTTTGCTTTTTGTCCGGTGCTTTCGGAAGCTTTTTTTTTGTCCGACGCTTTTACTTTTTTTTTCTGTAGCTTTCTGTCCGACACTTTTGCTTTTTTCCGTTTCTTTGTGTCCGATGATTCTGCTTTATATTCATTTTAAAATGTGCATATTTTTGTAGGTTCTATTTGAACCTCGATACCCAATGACACATTTGAAATAAATGCAAACCGTTTTCCTCTAGTCCAGTCGAGTTGTGTAACAATTGTTCAGATTGTGGTAAAAGCATCAAACTTTGCAGAGTTTTAGTTAAGGTAATAACAAACATTTATAGCTATGGACCCAATTCAGAAAATTAACATGGCTGATCTGGGTGGGCATGTTAAAATGGCCGCAATAAAATCAATAGAAATCTTTTGAGAAAAATTATAAAAAATAAATGGCATTACAAATTTTGATAATATGTGTTACATAAATCACTAATGACAAAGACTATCATCTGAGGACTTCATATATGTAAGTGCTGGTGGCGATCTTGAATGATGGCCATTTCTAACACAAGAATTTTCAATATCACATTATTTGCCTTTTTTGATATTTGCTTTTTGCATTTATACTAATGTTATGATGCATTTACAACTCGTTTGTTTTACAGATCATTGTTATATGACTGTTGCTTTTTATATTGGATATTCAAAAAGTGTTCAAATCAGGCATACACATGTTGACAAAATAAATGTATCTTATACTAGTACATACGTACATTTACTAACAAGATTGCTTAAGTACCTGTAAACCACAGAAAATTACATATATACAATAATTTATGACAACGCTTTATCAAAAAGGATAAAAATTGTAGATATTGAAATCACCAATGTAATTAAAATAATAGAACTATGATCTCGTTATACTCAATATGAGCTCATATTGGAGTATAACGAACAGAGTTCTATATTCTAAAAGGATTGTGAAATCCTCGAGTGAAATCACTGGAGCTGAAAAATCTAATTTACAAATAAACTGGAAAGAATTGTGAAACGCCAAAAGTGGACTCGTGAGGATTTCAATTCCTGGCAGATTCCAAACAGACATTAGAACTGGTTATCAGTCCTTTGATGCTAGCATATACATATGCTGTGTATTGAATTACTTTCTTGCATCACTCCAGCATCACATGGCAAAATGTTACTAATGCTGTCAAGATACATTATCAGATCTCAAAATATTTAGTCAGGAAAAACGAAAACATATTTATGAAGTCGGAGATGAGTTACCGATTAAAAATACCTGTAAAATAACCAGACACTGGTGTGGTGAATAAAGAAGGACAATGACTGCATGGAGTTTTTTTTTTTGTTATGATCCATCTGACGATCTTCATAAAGCATCGATAAAAGAGTATGTGAATGACTGTGCACTCATACTACCAGTGTTTTATTATCCAAACACAGGAGTTGCGGTATCATGCTAAATGTTTGTTAAAACTGAATCAAAGGACTGACTACAAGCTCAAATGTGTATGTCTTGGTTTGTTTTTTTGGCAACTGCTTGTCATTGTAAATCCTCGTGTGTCCTCGTCGTTTTACACATTATCTTTAGACCATTTTCTCTTTAAATTATTCAGCTCCAGTGTTTTCGATATCTACAATTTTGATCCTTTTCGACAAAGTTCGGTCATAAATCAAATTATATATATATATATATATATATATATATATATACGTAATTTCTGTATTACATGTAAAACGTCACTTAGACAAACCTGTAAGTATAAGACATTTTGAATCAGATCCCTCTATTTCGTAAACATGTGGCTGCCTTATGTGTCCACTTGGTGAATATCAAATATAAATAACAACAGTCATATAGGAATAATTTTGCTAAACTAGTTGTAAATTTAAAAAAAGATGAGTATAACCATGATACATGCAAATAGCAAAATTATGATGCAAAAAACGTATAATGATATATTGGAAATTCTTGCTTTCAAAATGGCCACATTTCAAGATGGCTACCAGTACTTCAACATATGAAGTCCTCAGATGGTAGACAGTGTGATTTGTGATGCATACACCATGTGTTATCAAAATTAGTAGAGCTATTTTTTTTTATTTATTTTTAAAACTTTTTTTTTCAATTTCCTGGCAGCCATTAAAAATACCGCCAGATGCAGACCGTTTCTGATTTTCTGAAATATTTTAAATGTGTTCATTGCTATACATATTTGTTTTGACACTATAAGTGTTAATTTCTGTGTCATTTGGTCTCTTGTGGAGAATTGTCTCATTGGCAATCATACCACATCTTCTTTTTTATACTGAACTAAAAGTCTGCAAAGTTTAGGCTATTTTTCCACCATTTAAATAATTCTTTCAAAAATCGACTGGACTATATGGAAACCCTTAAGTACATCGCTGCAGCAAGCTTATGAGTCATTCACTAAATTTAATAAAATGTGAATGTAAAAGGATAAACAGTTGCCGAAGACGATGCAAATGTTTAAAAGCAGTATTAAGTTGTACTATTCTGTGTGAATGTGGAGGAAAAGGATATTATAGACAGAGACAGCTATTGTGTGGTTTGACAGGATGTACAACTCATTCATTATGTTATACTTTTAACGTCAATAAACAACATTTGAGCAGACAATTTCCTTACTAGCATGATGTGATAATCATTATGTCTGCCATGCAGGTTTTTTGAAATTTGATTTCATATAAACATTATCAATCAAATTATTTATTTTCATAAAACTATGACATGTATGAATTTGGAGATCTACCTATTTTGGCTGAACTTTGAATTTCAAGATTTTTTCAAGATGGCCGCCTTCAATGCGGGTAACATTTTAAAACATTTTGTTCAACAGGGCAATTGGTATAAGCACTGTAACTCTACCAGGTGTCATGTTAATATCTTTACTAATAGTTATCGAAGGTATCAGGCTTATAATTTGATTCACCAGACGCGCGTTTCGTCTACATAAGACTCGTTAGTGACGATCAGATCAAAATAATTAAAAAACCAAACAAGTATAAAGTTGAAGGGCATTGAGAACCAAAAATTCCAAAAAGTTGATCAAAATACAGCTAAGGTAATATATACCTAGGCTAAAAAAATCCTAAGTATTTCGAATAATTCATAATTTTGCAAACAGTAAATTTATAAAAATGACCATATAAATGAAATGCTGACTACTGGGCTGGTGATACCCTCGGGGACGCAACGTTCACCAGCAGCGGCATCGACCAAGTGGAGTAAATAGTAATCGAAGCTAATATAATATTCATGATTTTTTTTTAGTATTTTATAGAATCAAAACAACCGCCATCTTAAAAATGGCCGCCTTTCCCACCAATTTCGACTTTCAGAGTGGGTCCATAGCTTAAAAGGTTTTCCATGACCTTTACTACTATTATGCCAAATTTCATGCTTGTACCGCAATCTGAACAATTCCGCTAAAAATCTGCTCAAATCAACCGGACTACTTTAAATGAGTGGTACAAAAAGTATCTAGTTTTTTTTTTAAACTATTTACCGTTGGTAAAGCCAAGCATGTTTTAATTAACCGTACGATTCGGTTAAAAATAAGAAATCGTAATTATTTAGACGACCGTGATAATGAGCATTA